TTCACCAATTTTGTGTTGAAATGTTGAATTCTTCTTAAGCCAGGGGGGCGTGGACGGTAACTTGCACTTTCCAGTACCGTACATGAACAGGCCCAATTAAACCGAGCCTGCAACATTTAACAATTTTGCCGTGTTTGGATTTCTTTAGGGATTCTGTTTTTCTCTATTTCATTGTCATATCCGTGTTATTTATGCCGTGTGGCGGCTGTACAAAGTCTCCTCGTACATATAATAAATGATGTTATATTTTCTATCATTGAAGACCGTTCAGCACGACATTATTGTTGTGTATACATTTTAGATGGTATGTTTAGTTTCTTGTTGACCTTTTTCAACTTGGGAGGTTCCAGAATTCCTACTTGAATACTGTATAATCACCCTTAGGATATGTTGCCTGCCTTTTAAATTTGTCTTTTGACGTCTTGTCTGTGATATACAGGCTTCATAACCTCAGATCCCCTTTCAAAATTCCGTATGAACACATCTGCGGATGTTTCTAAATTCAAAATTTCACCATTTTTGTGTTTAAATGTTGAATTCTGCTTAAGCCGATGCTAGGGGGCGTGGACGGTAGTTTGCAATTACCAGTACCGTCCATGAACAGGCTCAATCAAACCGAGCCTGCAACATTATACAATTTTGCCGTGTTGGGCTTTCTTTAGAGATTCTGTTTATCACTATTTTAGTTTTTAAAAAAAGCTAGTAGTGGCTCATTTTGACCTTTTCATATAACATTCGTCATCTTGTATTTTCTACTAATTAAACATAAATTTCAATTTGTGCAGAAACTTTAGAAAAATTGTTATTATAATAGTAATTGCTCCCGTGATACGGGTAGTTACACGTCATTGTCACTATTTGACAGGTACTTTGTCTTAATTAACAGCAAAAGTCATTGATTAAGTGCGTTATTCGTGGAAAGTTAAACATTCGTTCTGTTCTCTGCTATCAAATGACAAGAACAGAGACAAGATTTATTGCATATATCCCGGGCTTACTTACATGTATAAAAGTCACTAGTTCTTGGCTATAAATTGACAAAATATATTTTATTTACATCTTAAGCATTTACACAACGTAAGCATTTTAGACAGAAAGTTGAATGGTACACAAATTAGAATAACATTGATTTAAGTTAATTGTTTCTAATAAAAGTGCTATACAGTGGTCGTATTATGTATTCCAGTAGATTCCTTTGTTAGAACTGTTCTATACCTTATCCAATCAAAACCGTTAAGACTTACAAATACCGTTATATCCATTATTTCGTTAAGCGTTTCAATGCTGGTCTTGTGATTCTTCATTGAAACCTTTTAAAATTTGTGTTTTGACAGGTGTCCGTGTTAACATGTTTCATTCAACTTTCGATATGATTTCTGTTCTAATTTTAATAAGGTCTGAATATTATTCTTGCTCACGGATTCTTCAAAGCTTTTCACTTTACATGGACGATAGCGCTCCATTTGTAAAAGAGTGTTGTTCTTTGTCTTATCATAAATATCACGTACCTATAATGGTATAAGTGTAAATCACTCATGTCTAGTTCAATATTCTAAATGATGTTACAGACGCAAGAAATAACTCAGCACACGAAAGATAATAAAAATGATTTATTGATCAAAATTGTATTCACAGGATACATGCAACAAAGCAATGTATTCTTTTCTTGTCTAATATATATAAAAAGCCCTGAGATAATGACATTTGTCAATTAATAATCGTCTATTTTATTTTTCGTTTGATCCCATTATGTATACTTCTTTTTGTTTTGTAGGCCTGAAATTTAAAGGTTACAAAGATGTTTCAGCATCGTCCGTAAAACTGTGACAGACGTTATTGGTTCAAAACTAAATTGTATTCATAACTAAATTGTATAAAGGCTTACTGGTAGATCTAGTTAAAATGTGATTGAAAAACGTATTTACATAAAACAGGTTATAAACAATTCTTGTTTGTGTTACGATTTACAAGATATTGAAACTGTTCTCAAAAGATAACAAAACTACTTCTTCAAAATCCATAAATTAACGATGGCGTTTTCTTTTTCAAAATATGATCAAATTAATTAATCAATTGATTAATTAATTAATTAATTAATTAATTAATTTCTGAGGCAAAATGGGACACACGTAGTAATAAAAGGTCATACTAATAGGTCCTTGTCTTTTTTATCACTTACCAGATAATATTAACATTCCAAACACGTCAGTCATTTTAAAGCTAATCAAACAATTTTATTAAAGCATTTCGACACCCCACTGACATTTTTCTCAGAAAATGCATTATTTATGGCTGCAGACATGTGAAAATATATTTCCTGTCCACTTTAATTTGTGTCTATCCTTTTTATGCAAATAACATCTAAATTTAATAATTCCAATGACAAACCTGTTAGACTGTAGGCTTGGGAATGAAATTTATTTAAGAGCTAGCTTTAAGAAAGCTTAAAAAAGTACAAAAAGTCATTACACGTTAAATTGCTTGCAATTTTATACAAAAACGGTGATGAAATTAGCATTGTCGTTATGATGCTAAACACCCACAACAATATCGGGTTGCAGATTATTTAATTCATGCAATAAAACTGTAACACGTTTAGTAAGCAAGAAGAGCATATTAAATACTTTTCTTTATTTTTTGTGTTTTCTTGTTTTTTTCCGCCGGTTGAATTCTTTTGTAGGGCACAAGTATCCGATCATACGTCGCATTAAATGGAGTTGCCCTTATGGTCACATATAAGATTCGATTTTTTTCGCCGTATAAACACATCTGTGGATGTTTCTAAATTCAAATGATTTATTGTTTGTTTCTGCTTGATGTGTTTTTTCCTTGGGGGGAAGGGGGGACCGAGCTTGCAATAGTTTCAATTGTGCCGTTTCTAACGCTCTTTAGGATTTCTGGGTTAAACTTTTCTATTTTGATATCAGTAGTTTGCTGTTAATATGAAACTATGAAGGCTTTTTTGACACGGATATCACAAGGCGTACCTGTTTGTCAGTTCAAACATATCAATTCGAACATGTGAACTAGATCAAATGAATTGATTTTCCCATATCCATTTATTATATTGTTCTTATATCCATTTAATTGGGCATTTATATTCAATTACATTCTGTCCAGCTGTGGTCCGGGGTTGAGAGTAGATAAATCGATAAGATAGACATTTACTATTCAAATACGTTATTAGCTTTAAAAGAAAAACGTAACATTTAGTAGGGTAACAATTTTTGAACTAATGACGTTTGTTTTAAAGTTAACGTATTTGGTTGTTTGCAAAATCAACCTAGTAGTTATGTCAAATTATGTCTACTCAAATGATATATGCCACTCTTCATTCCAATAATTATCTTTTTGCATTTCATAACGAATAAATAACAAATACCCGGAAATTTATTAACAAAAATAGAGCACAGTCAGTTTTGAAACATTTTAAAGTTCCTACTCCTTAATATCAACCCTTTGAACAAAAATATTCAACGGAAAGTATTGCACAAATGACTCAAAACATGGCGAAATTTACAACCGCAAACATTTATATATAGGGCATCTTTACCTTATCGAAGTTTGTAACATAATTAAGGGAGCAATGTTGATGCCAAAACAGTCGGAATGCATTTTTTATTTAATTTTTGTTATTTGCAAGTTAACATATTCTAACATGTCATATTGTGCATTATTTGGTATTCTATTGAGAAATTGATTGCGTTTAATGCGTTAGAATGCCAACTGCTCTTCTTTTTCCTTTAACAAACTCTTAATAATTGACAAAATCATAAGATATTCTCGGTTAACGATTGCTAAAGTGCAAGCTCATCTTGCTCATTTTTCCTTAAAGTAACTATCGGTGTTTTACAAATGCCGTGCATCGTTCTCAATGTACTTCTTTTTAATTATATTATTTGTTCAAAGATATTTTATTTTCTGCTACATCTTTGTTTTCAGACAATTTTACGCAAATAAATTCAATTAAGTTTATGCTGATTGAACAGTGTTGCGTAGATTAAATGCTGTCACGGAATTGTGAATAGTTTTCCAGCATGATTATCTTTCTTTGCACGAACATTTAACGTGGCAGACTGATATTTACATAAAACATTGAGACACATATGGAAAGAATTGTTAAGTTAGAACAGACAGAAAAGTATGACAATAGTTCATTTGAATTATTTCAACAACGTATGATAATATTAAGTGTCTTTCAATCGTCTTTTATAATGTACAATCGGTGTAATTGCATTAGGTATAGAATGAGATAAAAAGTTGCTTGAGAAATTGGAAGAACTGGGTGTGTATCTTTGGTCTAAAACGAGGAAATTCAAACTTGTTTCATACTATCTGAGGCTAATGTTAACATTGCTATTGAACCATCAAAGTCCCGTTAAGAAGGGAAGTTGCGTTTTGTGCACGTTGCAATACAAGTTGATCTTTTAGTGTCATTTTGTAAAAATCTCCTTTTTAATGCATTCAATGAATATTTACTTTAATAAAAGATATTCATATGAAATTACATGTTAATGAATAATTTCAATAACAAGAAAATGAAATTATTCATTGAATATAACGCATCTAATTTTCGTAATTATGTGACTGAATGGAAATGAGCATGGATATTTCTGTATATTATACAAAAAAGCAGAAAAGATACAATATCAAACAAAAACAATTGACTTTAAAGGCCCATTATGCATAGAAATGCTATCACTTTTATTTCTCAAAAACTGATTTTTGGTATCTTGTTATAAAAATACATCTTTTCCATATGCATGTAGATGAATTGTCCATGCTTTCTTGGCAATTATTATAATTATATTGAAATAGTATTTTGTATGGAAGTCAAAATACTACTTTGTTAACATTTTGCTATATTCATGACGCAATACTGCAAATTCAGCGCTATTTCCTTCATCTGTTGGACATCTAACATGCTCTAAGTCCATTATTTAAAAATAATTAAACACTTATTTGACATTTCTAAAGAATTTATTAATATATGTACATTTGTAGTACAATACTACATGATGAAATTAAGTATGAAAATTTAGAATATAATTAAAGGCAATACAGTGGAAAGCAAAAAAAAAGTGGATAAAGCTTTCACATTCCCTTCTTTTAAAAGGAAAATATGATGTCTACAATGAATGATCCATTTATCAGCTGGAGACACACTTAAAAGATCATCAGTCAGAGCCAGTTTCTTCTTTAGTTAATCTGACGCTTACTCCCAATGGGAGTTTTAAATATTCATGACAAATAATGGCCTCGTAAATCATGTTAACAAAATTACAGTTATATATCTTTTAGCATAGATTTATAAAATAATGCAGGGTTTCAAGTATATTCTAGTATTTAAAAGACAGTTCCCGTGTAATACAGAAAAAATGTCATTAAGTAAAATGTACAGTATTAGTTTCAAATGTGTTGTTAGGTAATATAAATACACTTCAAATTTAAAGGTGGAATATAAAACTTGCAATCAATCTTTTGATACATTACTCGAAGTCTTAGCATGAAAACTGTGTGCGTAAAAACTTTGTTGAAAGCGGCTTCCCCATAATGTATATAACATTTTTTAAGAAATGATTGACAATATTTCTTCCATAAGCAGGTACAAGTACATTTATATTGATATTGTTTAAACATCTGATGCGCTTTGGGGGTCATTTGCACTGCAAACTTGGTCACAACCTTGCGCAATACCTTTGCAGACTACAGGACCGTTTTCATGTAACAGCATTGCTGGCCAAACAATATATTTAATGTGTGACCCACTTGTTGTGTACTCTCTGTACAGGTTTTTGTCAAATTTGTCCTGTTCGTTAACGTCAATAACATGTATACACATAGGTAGTGACTGGACTACCATCATCCAACAAACATATATACATTTTCTAATGAATGGCTTCAAAGCAGGTACAAATTCATCGTTCCTCCAGCTTGCTTTGAAGTAAGCCTGAAAAAGAATTTTTAATGTGAGAATGATATAAATACGAACTTAAAATAAAATAAAACAATATAATTAGCAAATTTGAATATGAAAAGTGAATAATTTCAGGTAATTACCTTTTGAACAACAGGCACCATGATTTCGGCAACTTCCTTCTGAAAAACCTTCAGTTTATCCAGTATGGCCTCAAATCGCTGAAGCTAAATGCATAGAAATATATGAACAATATTGCTTCAAAATGTAATAATCCGCTGCTCCTTACAATATGCAGGTTCAAGGATGAAACATATAAGGGTTTTTGGTGAAGACAAATACACATGTGATTATTTTGTAGATGCTTATTTTCAGAAACACTGCTTATAAGAAAATAAGAAACAACGGTCTTACTATTGTGATTAAATTTAGCATATAAACAATAATCAAATTGAATGAAATTTGAATTTATTCCCAAAGAGACGCATTTTCATTAAATCCGTAAAATAATTATTATAATGTACATTACTTCATATTTTGCCAAAAATAATAACAGAACTTTTTTCCTCGATTTCTTTTTTCAGTGAATCCTAAACAGAAATAAAAAGAGAAAAAAATGTTTGGATTATAGAATTTACCGCCATTGATGCCCGAACGTTTTCTGTACCAGTTCCATTATCTTTTTTGTACCTCCATTTTTCAGTCAGCTCAAAATTGTCTTCTTCACCACCTTCACTGAAGTCTGATTTTTGCATGTTTGAAAGCTATAAGAGAATGTGATTTAGGTTGTTAATATTAATCCAAATCCGTTAAAATATTAATTGTATATAATTTTAAAAGGTTACATGTATATCGCTTAATAATAGCGGCTGTACGTTCCCCATATGATTTAATACAATTTTTATAACTACAACAATTCCGTTTTTACACGAAATAACAATAAATTACAACAACCACGGATATAAATTTGGAGTAACGATTATCAAATGAAAATCGTCGTTGCAATTTTGCAGAAATTACATGTATTATAATTGTACTTTAAAATAAAAAAACTTTTATATATTTCTGTCGGGTCTTATCCATTTCTAAATAAAAAAGGACAAGTTTAAGCTATACAAGTAAAATTTTCTATCACACCACGTGCAATGAATGACTTCAATTTTATATTATTCTAAATAATATTAATAAAGAACGGAATTGTGTATAAGATAAATGTTTTATGTTAAGATATCTTTACCCTTTTCTTTTGCATCGTTGTAACACTGGCGTCATTCTACAATGCAAATAGCATACTAATAAAAGCAATAACCATTCATGATACAATGACACGAAAAGCAACGTAGAGTTCAATCTTGGGTGCTGAAGTTTACTTCATCTCATTTTACATTTGAAAAGCAGTTTTCAAACTCTTAGCTTTTAAATCACAATGGCAAGTTTTTTTTAACAGATATGTTTACTCATACGATGAATTTTATCATTTTCACTGCTTAAGTTAAAGAAACAACTACATTCTGACATTATATTAAAATTTTTTCCTTTTTCCAAAAAGATGAATTTCAAGCCCTGGGGTTTTTAAAAGGGACTTTTTTTTAAATTTAAAACCCTGTTTCAGTTTTCTCTCAATAATAAAGGTAAAAACAAAACCCGTTTTTTCATCATAATTGAATTTTCTCGGGGATCGTTCCGAAATGGGCCGCTTCGTGAGCCGCGGGGTATTTTAAAATAAAGGGTTCCCATTTCTTATTTTGCCGGGCCCGCCCTGGCAAAAGGGGTTTAGGAAACGGGAGGCGAAAAAAAATTGGTATTGAAAAAGAAAAAGGTGTCATCATTAATTTAAAAGGGGCTGGCCCCTTTTTCAGTAGGGGGGGACACTAAAATAAAAGCCCTTTCCCCTTTCCCTTTTAAAAATTACAGTTTACATCGGTTAAACAATCACAAATTACAGATCGTCTTTTACCGTAAATACTAATTTTTTGACATTATAGGTGAACTGCTATATTTATTATATTACATTTGTCGTTAAGAGACCTAGTAGGTGAATTGGGAATAACAAACAAACAAGCAAACTAAATGACTCATTGGCTAGCTAACTAACAAACAAACAAAATACTCAACTGTTCCTGGATTATCTTGTAAAAGCTTGTATTCTTCAAACAAGTAGTTGACCGCATCATCCGTTTTAGTCAGCATAGTTTGAGCTTTTTTCTTGCAGAAATCATAAACGTTCTGAACATATAAGTGTATTGAAAATTGTGTATAATGAGATGTAATTTTTATTATTGAATTAATCATGTAACAAAAAATTGAAGAATGAGAAATCTCTCGACTCAAGATCAATGAAAACAAATGTAAAAGGTGAAAAATGCAAACTCGGTTTTATTACGTCTGATCATGGCAGTTACTGAAAAGTACAACATACCCATAGCACCAGAAGAATCAGTATAGCGTATCTTATGCTAAACGTATCGGAATCAATGATCACTAAGGATAAGAAAACATGCCTTTAACTTTTTACTTGTGTCGATAAAATAGCCCTATATTACTGACAGCTATATGTTATCATTATCGACGTTAACTCGCCAACAGTGATATGTTAAATAATAAGTCGCTCAACGGACATTATTTAAAAGAATCCTGATGCTACAACTACAACGTTTTTTTTACATTAATTTCTAATATTTCTTTCTGATTTCTGATGTTTGTCTATTAAGATGCTCTTTACAGTTAAATTGTTTAATTAATAAGAACTCTTATCAATTAGATTTGTATTATTTTTATCGGCAGTAACAAATTGAAAATACTATATTAAATAGTATGTATGATATTTATTTTGTAATATTCTTTTTAAAAATGAGATACAAGTAGGTGTTCATTTCATTGAAATGAAGTGTACACGTTTTTATTTCTTACCAGTAATGTCAGATGAAGTGTAGAAATTGCTTCCTCATCATCATGTCCTCCACCCGTAAGCCCATCAAAAGCGTCCGTCCATTCGTTGTCGTAAAGTTCACTGTAAACTTCATCGAGTTTAGTTGGTCGGTTTGAATCAGAAAAATCAGGAATTGCCGGGTTGTCTTTTGTCGATTTCTCGTCCGCCACCTTACTAGATGAACAATCAAAAGATGAATACTAATATTACGCATGTCTTTTGTAATATATCTTGTGTTATAAGATAATAAATTCATTTCATTGTAGTTAAGAACATCATTTGTTTTTCTAGAAAATTAACAATTAGTTTAACTGTGAACTTCATGATATCATGGCAAAATTTTTATTATCCTACATGTGTAAACATACTGTTACAGTCACTATGAATAGGTAAGTAAGGCAGGATTTACTGTGGCCTTCATGTTTATATTTATATGAAGTTCCAAAGTCATTGTATCTTTAATGACATGTATTTCATTTGATGTATTTCCTTGTTAAATTTCTGATTAAATTAATTATTTCTAAGAGTGGCATTATGCTCATGTTTTTCCTTGTCAAGTTTATTAATTGAATTAAATATTATTACAGAAAATTTTCGGTTACCATGGTGATTGAGCAACAGTTGCTGTAGGAAAATGTTTAGGATTATATATAAATCTGCCAGCCTAAAACTTAAAAAGACTGCCCCATTTTTTATAACTTAAAAATTACAGGTAATTCTGATGGTATTTTTACAGAATTCTCCCTGGACCACGTTGGTTATTTATTGTTCATGCGAAGTTAATTACAAAATTGAAAGGAATTATGGCAAAATGTAAACTTATTAAGACTTTCACAGACTCACTCAGTTTAAACCGTAAGATGAGCATAATGTTACTTAAAGTAACCGAAAAGCTTTACTAGTTTGTCAAATAACAAGTAATAATTTGGAATTATTTTGATACCGCAGAAGCAATTCCTCTTTTTTCATTTCCTCCTCCATAAGTTTATCCTTGTTTTCTAAACGTAACTTCTTTAAGTTTTCTATTTCTTGTCTCAACTTGACATTTTCCTCCTTTAGCTGCGAATCATTATCAGAACAAATTGCTTCCTTATGTTTGAAGGGATTTTTCACATGCCATTTCTTTTTCTATAATTCAGAAATAAGATATGAAAATACATGTTGCACATTGATAAATATAACGGAAACCTTTCACGGATTTTACATGTAAGTATGATGTTATCTTTTCTTATGCTATGTATTTACTTCAACACATTAAACGTCAAAAAAGTACAGTTTCAAAGACATACACTAAGAATAACATTTCTAACCTATGCTTGGTTAGAAAAGGGTTTTAAGAAAGATGTGTTTATTATTCCTCCAGATTTTTTCTGCCTTTTTGATTGGATATTGATCACCCGAAAGAAATTGATATAACCGAGCCAGACGGGTAATATACACATTAAATTTCCCCGTTGGGTACCCAACGTTGTAAACGACATGCGCTGAGGTGATGCGCGTACGGTTCGATTTTACGCGGTGTAAAATTCCGATTTACAAGCATTTTTTAACTGTCAAATGATAAATATTTGCCAAAAAAGTAATGATACAAATTCCCATCAGTATTGAAAACAAATATGACCTTGTGAAAGCTTGATATTAATTACAAAAAGTGCTTTCAATAGACTACTTCTTTTCTCTTGTTTACATTCGTTAGGTACGGGAAAAATACGTCATGTATTTATGTGACGCCATGTTGTGATGGAGAGGTACCCTAAAGGGAATCTTATTTCGACGTTTCATTTGAAACAGCAATGATTTTTTTTTTAAAAATCGTCTAAACTCGGCAGGGGAAGGGTAATAGAATTATTATTTTGGTTTTGGAGTGATATATGTGGATATATTACCTGCCAAGATAAAATATCACCCTCTTTGTAATAACCTCTGCTTTATTTCTGTCACAGAAGTGAAAGTAAATATTTACCTCATTGTTAACATGTCTTAATTTCTTTTCCGTGTCAACCAATAGTGTATGTAGTTGTTGTTTAATTTCATCCGGAGTTTTACATTTGATTTCTTTAATGGTTGAATTAATATGGTCCAATTCAGTTTCCACCGTCTCAAGCAAGCCGTCATCACATTGATTTTCCTTTTCACCACCTTCGGTTGATGGAGTGTAAAATGTTGACCTTTGTTCACTCCGATGAGGGGAGTGTTCGGATTGATTGTTACCCCTACATAATAAATAAATTTGCAAAAGGAAAATTGGATTTCATCCCTTCGTTTAGAATTGAAGACATGCAATAAAGTTATCAATTTAGATTTATGGGGTCAATTTTGCTTTAAATCATCTTACAGAAGTAATGTGTAAAGTTTAGTCATAATAGTTGTATGATTTACAATTTTTATTTTCGTTTATCAAAAACTATATTGTTCAACACAAGAAGAGTAAACATCTGGAAATCTTGATTTATATCTCCTTTGACTATATTAAGCATATCGCTTGTCAATATCTCAAACTTAATGAAATTTATAGTTAAGTAAACATCTTCTTATTCTTCCTTTCGCTTCATTATGTTTCGCTGTAATTTCTAATGATTAGAAAATTGGTCTTATCATTTAACTTAATACTTCCGTTTCTGATTCGGCAAAATTTTGACTAATTTTTAGACCAACTTTAAATTTTAAAGACAAAACAATTTATTACATAGAGAGAGATAACAAACTTGCATTTGTGCATTTATTATTTGATATCGATTCAACTGATTCTTTCCCTGTTAAGTTAAGAATGACGTGTTGTCGCCAAACATTTTATAGAAATGGATTTCAGCCAATTATTTTTAAAAATAATCAACTGACGAAAATGAAAAATAAATGTAATATATTTATTGATCAAAATGCAATAAAGACATTATTTGTCGTTTTTATCCTTGTATAAAATTCTTAAAAATAATAAACCTTGGCAGCCCGCCAACATTTGCCATGAAGTAGATTGTGAGCGCGCTGCTCTACCAACCAAATTATATTTTTACTTAAAATTATCATTACATTGGACGACAAATTTTTATATGCAACTTTTCATTAACCTGTACATAGGTTTCAAATTGACTTCCCCATAATAAGAATAACACTGAAAAAACTTCTGTTCAAGTCATAATTACATTTATTGTAAGATATGATTTTAAACATTAAAATGTTATCTTACTGTATTTATTAATATCTCTTATTTCATCTACAATTCGGTTTGTATGTAGCATATATTTGGAACAATAGAGTGAATAATTAGCTTTTAAAATATTGACAAGATAAAAATATGCTCCAATAAGATGACAAATACACTAGTAAAAAAACATAAGTAATTTGTAAGTGAAAATGTTTAAGAACACATCAACACTTCTGTCGTTGTAATTTGATCAGATAAACTATTTTCATCAATTTAATCAACAACTGAATAAATTATTTACGTAACAATGTAGGAATTTAATAAATTAAAGATAAAAGAAAAATGAAAATATGATTGTTTAAAAGTGAAACTTTATATTGAATCAAATTTGCACCTCGGTAATAATGTTATCTGTGTGTTTATGCTGAACTTATTTTACTAATTTGAAACCATTTTTCATATAATTTGTCCCTTATTATTAAACATATAATTCAAGTCAAATTCAAAAGGTGTCTTATAACCTTACATAAATTTAATGTAAGATACTTTTCTGAATAAAATGCTGTGATAAAACGGTTCTAAGGGATCTATAAAAAAATCTTACAAGTATTTTTAAATATAAGTTTTATACATTAAAAGTTAAGGTTATATTTGAAATATAAATAATTTTGAAAGAAATCAAAATAGAAACAAACCATATCGCCTAATGAGACTAGTATTTAATATGATAATAAAAATACTTACATTTTGGCTGGTATTTTCTTTTTGAATGAACGAGGAAGTGAAACACATTTAAACGTTATAAATTTCACGGGTGAACGTATTTGAAAAAAAAAACCGTTTAATCAATACAACGACGTTATCGCGCTTTAAATTTATAATCGTTATTTTACTTTTATAATCATGCGGTATCTGATTTATTACCATGATGTTAAACATTGCATTTTACATTGCTTTGAAAGATTGTGTAAAGATTTGGGGATTTTTGCTTGATCTTGTACGTTTTACAACGATTTTAATACAATTTTAGTCATATCTTGGCGGTTGATCCACCTCACCGGATTTTCTGCATAGCCACCTGCCCGCCTAGTAATTTAATTATCGATGAAATTTGCTCTTTCTTGGGTTAGTATTAACGTGACACCAACGCAGTAAAGGTCATACGGGGACCTTCCAGCTTTACTGGTTGAAGAAGCGTTCAGCCATCTTCCATGCATTTTTTTCAGGCAAAAAACAAAACAAAACCTGAGTAGAACCGCCCACGCTTCGTAATCTAGCTAGTCAGCTCCCTCTCGTGAAAGAATCCAAAGTCCCTGTCGGGATTCGAACCGGCAGCGGTGCAGTGAAATATAGACTACCATAGGGGTCATAGTTCAAGATCAGTTGTTAGGAAACATTTCACTTTAAAAAAGGATTTAAAAAAAGATCACCACGATATTACAAAGGCTTTTCTTATTGAGCCTATCGGGCGGCATTTTGGGTCTTTATAAAGTTATAAAAAAAAGTTTTATAAAATAAACTGCAAATATTATTGATAATTAATAGAACTGAAAATGCAATGTAAATTATTCATATAATGAGTAAAATGGTGCACATTGTTTCGGATGAATCGACCTTTAGCTTAAGGTGTTGTATTAAGTCGTCAATAGTCTATAAAAATGAATGTTGTATTGCATTTAATTTAACATTCTTTTTGTAACTAAGCAATGTCTATTAATTAATATTTCGACGGTAAGTTTTCGTTTTTTATAAGATTAATTCTGTCATCTTATAATTATTTTGAAGTGCATCTATTTCTTTCAAATGAACAAAACAAACTGTTTTCAACTCAGATGTAATAGGATACTCTACATAATTTAGATGAATCCGAACACAAATTGGTTGACAAATCCAGGACGTCTAGATCTTTAACTGAAAATAAAACTTTACATACTTTTCAGTCTGCGTCTTCGTCATTGTTCAATTTATTTACACACCTGGTAATGAAACCATCTAAATGTCATAATATCTAGCGAAACATTAACATTTGTCTTCTTTTCAGAAAACCAGGAAGTAAAATCCGAATTACAGTGAAGTAAAGATTTACACCAACTGTTCGTGCGTTAATTCACACAATCGGAGTTAACGTTATAAATAATCTTATTCTTTAATACCATATGATATACATTTGATGAATAAATGTTATACAAACATACTCGTATATTCGATAAGGTGATATAAAGTAAATACCGATAGACTCTGTGAAGTTAAAATGAATATGATTTAAACTAATAATGATACATGTACTTGTCAATACTTTATCAATCCCGGTATCATGGATAAAACTTTAAGAATATAATTGTAACTAATATGAATTGAAATATGATGTTTTAAGCATTTTTTGGGGGGAGATAATTTAATAAGTCCGAGAAAGTCGTGCGCACGAGATAATTAAGTCGTGCACGTAAGATAATATTTTGTGGTCATGAGTGACTTAGTCATGTGCACGTGATGATTAAGTCGTGGGCACGAGATACTATGCCGTGGCCAAGAGTTACTAAGTCCTGGGCAAGAGATAATTAAGTGGTTCGCACGAGATATTATACATTGCCACGAAATAGTATCTCACGCGCACGAGATGAATAAAATCATACACATGTCACATACGTGCCATCGTAATTCTTGCATAAAAAGGATTAATGTAATTTCGTAAGTATTCGTTACAGAAACAATGTTATTCTAGATCTATAGTTATGTTTTGATGATAAAACCAACCGGGGCAGTCATTTCAATAAGCATTTTGACATAAAACCCTACCCTTTGCCGTTAAAGCATACCTGTGTGCGTAGTATTTGTGCAAGAATATTAAATTTTACACACTTTTCAAACTACCAAATATCTGTATCATTTACACGATCTGTATCACACTTATATACACAATAAGAATGTGCTTGACTTCCTTTTCTTCATAAAAAAGAATGATATTGTATTTTTTTGTTTAATTTATTTTTAAGAAATTAAGACTACAGCTGAATTATCACTAAGTCTCACTGCAAGTAAGATATACACATACAACGAAACGTAAAAGATAATAATACAATCAAGAGGTTAACGACCGACAATGTTGTCACATATTGTCACATATCTTTCCTATTCATGATCTCCTTAAATACTCCTTTAATAGTTCTTAAAACATACTTTATACATGTACGTTGATCTGATATCAACTCGTAATAAAAACCTAAATATTAACAGCTTATTGTGCCCTAAACACAGTTTGTAAGTACACTATTAACATAACTTCCTGCTTGTCTTATGATGTGCACAATAATCAAAATGGCTACGAACGCAGCTAATCCTAAAAATCCACCAATAACTACGCTAAATGTTTTATCCAAATTTCTGAAAATATGAAAAATAACATTTTTTGATGAATTGAAATAAACAATAAAATGACATTCTAAAGCAGCATACACATTTAATTTGGAAAACTTAGCTTTGTAGAATAATATTAAATCTATTGACCAGCCAGTAGTTTAGCATCGAGTTTGCAAACTCATGTCGCTCTATTCTGAAGGCATAAGCAACCACTTTAAATTTCGGGTTAAGTGGGTTAAGGGCTACTGGCAGATTTATTTTGAAAGAGTAATACCATTTTTTCTCCAAACTCACTTTAATTTTATATCTACTATAATGATAAGTAGTAAAGTCTTGTTTTAAATGTAAAGGTTACAATTATTGTTTAGCTACACGAAGTATTAAATGGACCGAATCAAAATAAAATCACTGAATTTGATGATAAGTTGCGGCATTTGTGTTTGTCTCTCTATTTACATTGAAATTTGAAAAGCGCCTTACATTGATGATGACTCCTCTGAAAAAAAAAGAAAATGTAGTTAGTAAAATGTTATAACTTCTTAATAAATACATGCATAAAAAATACACAAACATTATAATATTTCATTTGTTAAATTGCAAAAATATTTAAGCAAAATATTACAAGCCAAACATATATTGCTAATTGGGACGCATCCTCTCGTTATTTGAATGTATTTTGTTGAAGTTTGAGATATAATTGTATATCTGTTTCTTTGAGACTAATAGACCCACCCGAAAAAAATTAACATACCGAAAAAAAAGATCATAAATTATATGATCACACTTTATATACGAAAGAACAAATCGCCGGTACGAAATAGGGATCATTTAATGCGAAAATCTCCTGTATATATTTCCTGGGTAGGGCTTTGGCATTTATATTGTGCAGAGAAAACCAACCAAATTTGTACAAACTCGAATTACCATTGGAATCAGACAAATGGTGTTTAAATGGTTGGCTCAAGAATATAGTGAATTTTTACGAATATTAAATTAATACAATTTATATACAGACATAACAAATCGACCTTCCAAAAAGGGACAATTTAACTGGGACCTCTTGCTATAACTTTTCTTGCAATTGACCACATTTTACCTGCATATTATTCCTGATATTTGCTTATACTGGAAATCACAGTAACGTTTGATATATATACTTTGAAATTAGAAAATTCATATACACAAAAGTCTTTGGCAATATCATATAATTTAATTTCCACTAGCTGTCAATGTCTGACATTTAAACAATATTTACCAATTTTAAAAGTAGGAAAATGCTTTTTTTACGTGCACAAGTGAAATTAAAATTTCATATTTAAGAGACAACTTATAATTACTCTACGAACTTTCCTATCAACCCCCTTAGCAAGATATTTATGACAAAAGAGAAATTGTAGGTTGGCGTGAAATATTAAATATGTGTTATAGCTTCTATCACATTGTGTAATATGTCAGAAACTCAGAATACATATATCGGAAAAAGACAACATTAAATGTATCTTAAATGTTAATATGCATGTACTGATATTTGATGTAATTGCTACAATGTACCTACAAGCGCACTTTTATTATCCTGACTTCCAAATGCCTCTCAGTTTTACAATAGTAGCAGATGTCAAATTTTGCATAAACGCATAAATGAAAAATGTAATTGTTGATATTTCACGTTTCATTTCCCATCAATTTGAAATTTATTTCGAGGTAATCCGCAAGTATTAGATTTCTGAAACCTAATCTTGTGTCTATCCATTCTTGACTGACAAATGTGCTTAAAGTGAAAATGAAACGTGAAATATTAACAATAACATTTTTCATTTAAACGTTTATGCAAAATTTGACATTGGCTACATTGTATAACCTTATTTTCATTTAAAACACATGGTTAACATTGCTATTGATCGCGTAATTATCAAATATAAATTAATCGTTACCTTGAATATTAAGATATACTTTGTCAGTTATTCTATAAGACTAGTTGAATAAATGGTACTATTTAACATATATTCAGGCACTCTGATTTGAATTTTTGATATATTTATTTTTCTTACAGGATCACGTTAGTCATTAACTTATTTTATTGTATTGTTCTTCATTTGGAGAAATTTATACAGAATAATTGCGCTTGACAATATTTGAAATGCTACAATGTGCACAAAACATTGAGAACAAAATGTATTCGTTTTGCATTACCTTTCATTTACAATAATATGAATTATATTTTTGCGATTATTATATTCTTTTGTCTTTACGACAAATCGATTGGTATTCAGATGACGGAAGATCGAGCCCACCAACTTCAATCCAAATCTTGAACTGCCCCAGTACACACCATATGAGACTGAAAACTGTAAAGGTCAGGAATAAAGAAAATGTCAGGATAACTTTACTTAGCAATATTTTAAAATCTTGTTAACAAAAAAAATGCATTTTGTTAATTAAATAATGAAATTGTATTATGAACTTTCAAA